AAGGGATAGCAAGATGCCAAAAACAGTCTATTCTAAAAGTCTGCCTAGGGTCAGCCCTAGACTCTGAAAAGATAAGATAAAAACTTTTCTTTTTTTCTCCTGGGCCTAAGGGCTGCTCAGTCTTAACCAAAGTTTACAATATTAATATTTATGAGTTACAGTGCAGTATGAGTTAAATAGGCTTATATACATTGGACTTGAGAAACTCCATATACACAGCATATATTGTTCCTATGGGAAAATACAGCATAAGTTCCAAGTAACCAATTTATGGACTCTTGGAATACAACCCTTGGTAGCTGGCCTGAGTAAAATGGTTCAGTTTACTTCATGATTACAATAACCAATATTTCCACAATACCTTGCAAAACTGCAGAATTTTATAACAACTGCCTAAGTGACCTGTGCCAAAGATCAGTGATAAGTGGGCAGACCGAAGTCTAGATTTTGTGGTTTGCCTAGCACCAGTCTGGCCACCATTAAGGAATGATGGCAAAGCTGCTAAAAGAGCAAATATTTTGACACTGCCATCTCTAGTTGTGAGTATTTTTCTTCCTTATATTTCGGGCATGATAACATGGAAGAATTTAGGCTAACCCTTAGGGTGTATTTTGAGGATGTCAAGATGAGAGCAGTTGTTCTGGACCCCTGAATTCTCCACACAGACTGTAATATGGGAACTATGGCTGTTACTAGGTTAGTTAGCCTGGCAACGTTACACATTTACACCAGGCTGCCTTCTGTCTTTAGGTCACTGGGGCGGGGGGGAACCCCTGAAAACAGTCTCTTAATAGCCAGCCAGATCTTTCTCGATTGAGTGTTTTTGTTCTGGCATTACAATAGCCAAAGAAAAAACCCAACATGCTAATCGACTAAAATTATCTTACAGGTCTCATAATTCATGGAGAAGAAGATATGTAAGCAATAGGTAGAAATAATGTTAGCGAATCCAGGAAAAAATTAAGTATATAATAGATGAGTACTAGAAAAATAATCAGCTCACCAGAATATCCCTTATGAGAGCATATATGCTTGGCCCTTCCCCTCCTGTGCATGCTTATCCAGGCTTGTAAAGATGTTTGAACTAGCTACTCTACCACAGAACAAATTTCTCTATAGCACCTGCAGAATATGTAAGTACTCCAAATCTCTCCTAGTTGACTCTAAAATTACAGTATTCATTCTGTTTTCACAGTTGATGTAAACCTGTTAGAAATCTATAGATTACACTTTTTTTCCTTACTGAGATTGTTCTACAGTTTAAATGACATAACATATATAAATTTCAGAAAATGTAAAACTGACAAGTCCTACCTCTGTACCTTTCATATTCAAATATACCTGCATAACAGTATATTATTTGTTTACATACCAGTATTCCTTTTTAGACTATAAAGTCCTTAAAGGCAGATATCATGTCTTATCTATTTCTCCACCCTCTAGCATAGCACCTGACATATAGCAGATGCTCAACAAATGTTTCCTGAATAAACCAGGAGTATAAACTCAGTTGAAATACATAAATATCCATTCCTGATCCTAAAATACAAATGTGTGTGTGTATATATCGATGTATTTTAATTTTCTTTTCACAAAGATGGCAGTTGCTTTTGTTTGTTTGAGAACAAGAAACTTCACAATGTAATAGAAAGCCACACATATCTCCATGGAACAGTAACGTCAACTTAATCTTAGGAACCTTTTCGTGCCTGGTGGTACATATAGCGACCATGAACTTTCTCAGCCTCTGGGGGTTTATTGGCAAGCTACTATGCTACTGATAGTGTGTGTTGCTGCAAGGCAGGAGCCTTTATGACTGTTAGAAACCAAAGAATCCTGAGTGTACCGCAAATTACTGTTTTAAGAGGGTATTGTATGAGGTGTCTGCATTTTTGGTAGGAAAAATAGAAATTTTGAAAATTTTAATTTGTTACACATATGTACCAACAGACTCTAAAGGGGACTCTGGGGTACGATCAGTGTACTTCATATGTACCACTAAACACTTAGGGTAGGCTTGTGGCAGGGGTCAAGGAAAAAAAAATCCATACTACCTACCAAAAATTCAAACACACTCAATGATTTAGCATGCTTCCATTAATGAAAACACATAGCAACAAAAAATTCAAAGCAGAAAATAATTGGGTCACCAAAGGGTTAATCACAAAGTAATGTCTCTAAGCTAACTACGGCACATATATTCAGAAACTGGTGTCATGAAGCTTTAATTCCCAAACTGAGCTAAATGGCAGTCTTGTCAAACACAGAATAACGTCTTAAATGATTCTGAGGCCTCTCTCCATAATTTCTAAAGAATTTTAAAAAATCACTATTAGCAACACCTCCCACCATTAGGTGTTTATTATGCACTAAGGAGTTGTGCTAAGTACTTAACCCCAATAACGAAATGAGTGGTAGGTGTTATCACACTATTTTACTGAAAAATATTTTTTAACTATAAGAAAAAAAGCTGTTGGTCTTAGATATAATATTGCCCAATGTTCTCCTTTAACATATTTATAATAAACAAAAATCCCAAGAGGAAGAAAAGACATCTGTGTTAGGCAAGCCGCCATCTGGTTAAGAAGAATAAAAGGGCATAGGGGAAAACGTACACACAAAGGCGAAGTCTTAGGGAAAGGTCAAACCTGCCTAAGAAATGGTCAGAATTCAGGTAATTAGATAATTGGCAGAAATTAGGCCAAAGAGGGAGGTTTTGGCTAAGTCGTGAAGGAAAAGTAAATAGTTTATATTTTTTCCTGAAGTCTTTGGGGAGTCAACAGTGATAATGATGATGATGATTATAGCAGCTGCTACCATTTATTGAATCCATGAGAATTAATGCAATCTTTATACCAAAAACTTGAAGGATTCAAGACCATTCCTGTGTGGTCCCCAAAGCTGTTGCTGCTCTTCTGTGTTATAATGTCTCCTACGAAGAACCTTAGCAGAATAGTGACATGAATACACCTTCTCATAATAAAACAGATAATAAATCTTTCAGAAAAAGAGATATTAAAGAATATATATTATTTTAAACTTATGACCTCAGTGAGGACCTCCACCGAGCTGCAGAAACTACATATTTATCTACCTCATACATATATTCACTTGGAGACCCTAAAGGTATCTCACAACCAGTCAACCAAAATGGAACTCATTTATCATCTTCCTAATACATCTCCCTTTATGGTCCAGCATCTCTCAATTATTCTCAGTATTAAGCTTAAAAGAAGAAACCAAAAATCCAGAATCAATGGCCTAGCCTCATTACAACTGTTATTTTTCACTTTTCATTTGAATCAAACTGCAAGTGCTAATATATAACAAAACTGGACAACTTGAACTGTACTTATTCTTTCTACTAGTATAATAAAGAATATGAGTTTTGAAATCAATAATACAGACCTGTTTTGCCACTTTCTGTTTAAAACAAACTGTTATTATTACTTAACATTTCTACTTACCTTCTAAACAAACAAGCAAGACACTCCTACCAGAAAGTGTTTTCTTATTTGTTTTATTGTGAAACATTCATAGTAAAATCATATGTATGTGAGGAAGTGATTAAAAGTGTTTGCTTTGGTAGCGTGCCTCAGTGAAATGAAAGTTTTCTAGTTTGACTTTCTAAGAAATGGGACTTCCTACTTGAGGCAAAGAGATGCCTAAGGCACTGCCTTTAATATATCCCTAATGGAGGAAGGAGGTCCATAGGCCTTCAATAATGAAAGGGTGAAAAAAAGACGAAGGACTGTTGAGATCTGCCCACAGAAATAAAAGCAGAGGACAAAGTCCAAAGTAGCTTCCATTTTCTATTTAAGAGAGCCAGGCATAATGATCACTGAAAGAAGTCAGACACAAAAGAATACAAACCATACGATCCCATTTATACGAAATTCAAGAACAGGGAAAAACTAAATTACAGTGATGGACATCAGAATAGTGGCTACTTCCAGGTGGAGGGGGGAAGGGTACTGTTTGGGAAGCAGCCCCAGAGAGCTGTCTGGGATGTTAAAAATATTCTATATCTTGATCTAGGCAATGGTTACATGAGTGCATGTATATGTAAAAACTTACTGAGCTGGGCACTTAAGATCTGGGAATTTTACATACAATAATACATAAATAAAACAAATGAAAGAGGGAAGCCAAACCAGGACAAGGACCTTAAAAATCCTCTAAGGTTTTATAAACTTTAACTTTTCTATGTTTTTAAATTTTTGTTGCCTACTATCTATCAGTCTATGGTGAGAGGCAGTAAATGTGTTTAAAAAAAAAAAAATAAGTTCATGTTTCTTTGAAAGTAGCCAGGAAGGCGGAAGCTAGAAGGAGTCTAGATAGTCTGTTGTTACCTGCTGCAGCTAAGGCTGAGGGGATCAGAAACCGAAAGAACAGAGTGGATGGTGTTACTCAAGCCTGACACAAAGACAGGAAAACACAGAGAACACGGTTTGGGCCTGACAGGCAACAAGAAACCCCAGAGGTTCTCCCCTCCTATTGGTATTAGTTAATAATTTGCAACAAACCATAATATACTTCCTGATGTCTTTCAAGACTTATTCAACTTGATCTACTTGGTTAAAAATACACTCAATCTTCTAAAAGAAGTTTTAGAAATTATTTCCTCCAAAATCAATCTAATTACAAAATCTAACTTTAGGTATGAGAAATATAAACTCTACCACAACCATCATTAGCTCGGATCAAGGAAAATACCTGTATGTTACATGATAGGAAGTTGTACACACTTCATTTTATAGCTTTATTAACTGTTAGAACTATGCGCTGTGTTTCTCTGACACATTTATGGAAGATGTTTGTGAGAGTCACAAAGAGGGTACATGAAACCAATGAATAAACACACCTAGAGTAACCAATCTTTTACAATCCCACCATTCAACAAAGAAAAAAAAAATGATGTAATGGTCTACAACAAAAAAAGTATAATGAGCAAGACCCTACAACAAACCCTCTAAATAAGTGGATGATTTCATTCTCACCTTTATCACGATCATAGAGTAAATCTTCCGTTGAGCAAGGGCTGCCATCCTGGGATTCCGGGGGACAAAATGGGGAGACACAGGGTGAATGACTGCTGCAGCTACTGCTGCGCTCCTGGACGGAGGGAGTCTGAGTGTCAATGCTGCGAGTACTACTGCTTCGATAGTGAGCAGGGAGTGGAGCTCTTCGACCATCCGGAATGTCCAAAGGCTGCAAGAGGAACACCATTCAACAAGCAAATGACGGTGCATACATTCCATTCACATAAAAAGCACATGTCATTTCCTCTGATTTCATAATCCACCGTTATCAACACCATAACTGCTTCTTCAGAGAAGAGATAAAGATACCAAGATACCTTTATTGAATTAAAAATGTCTTTCAAATCCCAAAAGGTAGTTAAGATTTCAAAATGCTGAGGTTAAACTGTCTGCCTTAAAAATTCCACAGCATTCGTAAGTTAGCACTTCCCATAATTCTCATTGAGGACAGTGGCTTCTTTTGTTTAACCCTGTATCCCTAATGCCTAGCACTGTGCCTGGCACACAGCAGCCACTCGATAAACACCTGCTGAATTAATTAACCAAAGCTGCTCAAGAAATCACTCTGACCTGCTAGAAGAAAAGTGAAATTTCACATTCACAGGTAGAGATGTTTCTGTTTGTTCATCTTTTCCTATTTTAATTTTTTAGAGCTAAGAACCATATTCTATATCCTTTGCAAACTACCTAAAATTTCTAATAAAGAAGTTTATTGTATTAGTACTCAACGGAGGATATTAACATAACTCAGAACAATTCTACTAATGTGGTATCCAACTTAGCAGGACTACTCAATTTTGCTTAGTTCTAATGCACTGTTCTGAGTGGCAAAAATAAGAAAAGGAAACTAAAATTGTAAAACCATGTATCTTGAACTTACAGGGACCTCAGAGAACACTAATTCAATGTCTTCACGTTACATAAGGAACCTACAGTTAAGAGCTCCTAGTGACATGGCTAATTGAGCAGGAGCTCTGCTGCAGTGGATTCTCTTCTAGTGTACTATCCTGCATTCTCCTCATTTGTGTACTAACAAAGTGAGGTCAGCAAATAAAATTCTATGTATTAAATTCTTTCTTAAATAATCTAAAATAATTTTGTTATTATACTAACAAGATTGCAATGCTAGAGAAAAGAACTAAGATTTTTAGTTTATGTACAACTTATTTTCACTATTAAGTGTACTTTTGCTCTTACTCTGAGCTTTGTCATCCAAAGTTCTCAGAAACATTGCCAAAAGGAAAATGTAGGAAGAAAAAATTAGACAAGATTCCAAATGTATCAATTTTTCCATAAGGAACAAACAAGGTTGAAACCCTTATACCTACTGTCAAAATTTCATTTATCTATGCAATGCTACTAAACCAAAATAATACCAACTTTACAACCTGACAATTGCTACTCAATTGTAAAGAAAATATTCAATTATTTCAATATCAATTCATTTTGTAAACAAATTTTAAAAAGTAAAACTTTCCAATTTAGGAAGGAAACAAAAGAAAATCTACTTGAGCAAACTCTGAAAATATTACTTTTATAAAAGTGTCAATATTGTTAATTAGTAAAAAAAATCAATCTGCAGCTAAAAAAAAGAGTTTAAGAATCTGAGTAGTGTTTTATTCATGTCCTATTTGATAAACACAATCTTAACATATTCCCAATTTCTTAAGCTATAACTTGATAATCTGTACCAATTCCCTTCACCAACTTTTGTTTTATTGGGGAGTAGAAGAATTAGAAGAACAAAACATGTTTTAGAAATCTATATATTTACACAAAATAGAAATGGGAAATATAAAGGCTTATATTAGAAAGAAGTTATCTACTATTACCAATATTGATATACTTAACAGGATAATTTTCTTTAACTATGGGAAGACTCACTAATGAGATGATTATTTTGATTTATTAAAACTTTTAAAAGTACCTCATCATAAATCTAAATGTTAATATTTTAGTTATAAATTTATCGGTCATTCTAAAATAATTCTGAAATTAGAACATGCCTTATTTAAAAGTAAAACAGTAAGCAACTTTTATATTTTAGTATAGTTTTGCTTTGAAATTCTTCAGTAGTCAGCAAATATGTGAATGATTAGCTCATCCTTCAGAAATCTGGCCAATTTCACTTCCTTACATTATTTCCTTAAACTTTACTTCATCTATAAAGGGAACAATTTAAGGGTAAACAGCTAAGAGAAAGTGTAATTTACAAAAGGTACCTTTATAACATAACAGATATAAAAATTTAACAGGGAGAGTAAAATGGCACAACCTTTGGGAGGATAATTTTGGTCACATACATTGAAATTTAAAATGTAGAAATGCTTTGACTCACCAATCTCACTGCCAGATTTATCTGCAAGAGTACACAGTATTTTCTAAAGTACTGCTTATGATGATAAAAAACTACAAGCTGAATGTCCATCAATAGGGGACTTGTAAAATGAATTACGGTACATTCATTCATACGATTTAGTCTATACTAGTACACACACCAAGTACCTGAAAGTATATACAAGAAATTATGAATAATGCCTAGATCTGCTGAGTAATAATAAGTACTATAAGGGAAATTATGTTTTTATTTTATAAATACAAAATTAATTTTGAAACTAAAAACCAGTTTTAAAAGCTATGCATTATCTGAAGGAACCAAAAGACATTTGACATAAATTAAATCATATTTTAATTCTAAAGAAGCATGAAATGATTAAGCCAAAGCCTATTATTTGTGGTTTCTTTTGATGAGTATACCTTTAAAAATGTGGTCAAATATAAGTTACATGCAGTGGTGTCCAGATTTCTTTTCTGGAAGGTTAGTAATTTAAAAAGTACTTTTAATTAATTTAAAATGGATCAAAGATCTAAATGTAAGAGATAAAACTATAAAACTTTTAGAAGAAAACACAGGAATAAATCTTTCTGACCATGTACTAGGCAATCCTGTCTTTATAATGACACCAAAAGTATAAATAGCAAAATGAAAAATGAATAAATCGGATTTTATCAAAATTAACAATGTTGTACTTGAAAGGGTACCATAAAGTAAGTTAAAAAACAACTCACAGAATGCGAGATATTTTCAAATCATATATAAGTGATTTGTATCTAGAAAATACAAATAATTTCTCATAAAACTATATACAAATGACCAATGTTGTTGTTGTTAGGTGCCTTCAAGTTGGTTCTGATTCATAGCGACCCTATGTACAACAGAACAAAACACTGCCTGGTAATGTGCCATCATCACAATCACTGCTGTATTTGAGCCCATTGTTGCAGCCACTGTTGAGGGTCTTCCTCTTTTTTTCACCGATCCTCTAGTTTACCAAGCATGATGTCCTTCTCAAGGGACTGGTCCCTCCTGATAACATGTCCAAAGTTCATGAAACAAAGTCTTGCCATTCCTCACTTCTAAGGAGCATTCTGGCTGCACTTCTTTCAAGACAGATTTGTTCATTCTTCTGGCAGTATATTCAATATTCTTCACCAACATCATAATTCAAACACATCAATTCTTCTTCGGTGTTCTTTATTCAATGTCCAGCTTTCACATACATGAGGTAATTGAAAATACCATGGCTTGGGTCAGGAGCATCTTAGTCCTCAAAGTGACATCGCTGCTTTTTAACACTTTAAAGAGGTCTTCTGCAGCAGATCTGCCCAATGCAACATTTCCTTTGATTGCTTAACTACTGCATCCATGGGCGTTGATTGTGGATACAAGTAAAAGGAAATCCTTGCCAACTTCAATATTTTCTTCATTTATCATAATGTTGACTACTGGTCCAGATATGAGGATCTTTGTTTTCTTTATGTCAAAAGGTATAATCCATACTGAGGGCTGTAGTCTTTGATCTTCATCAGTAAGTGCTTCAAGTGCTCTTCACTTTCAGCAAACAAAGTTGTGTCATCTGCATATCGCAGGTTGTTAATGTGTCTTCCTCCAATACTGACTGATGCCATGTGCTTCTTCATATAACAGCTTCTCGGATTATTTGCTCAGTATACAGACTGAGTAAGTATGGTAAAAAGATACAACCTGATGCACACCTTCCCTGATTTTAAACCACACAGTATCCTCTTGTTCTGTTCAAACGACTGCCTCTTGGTCTTAAGTGCTCCACATGAGCACAATTGTTTTGGAATTCCCATTCTGCCCAATGTTATCCATAATTTGTTATGATCCACACAGCTGAATGTCTTTGCATAATCAATAAAACACAGGTAAACATCTTTCTGGTATTCTCAGCTTTCAGCCAAGATCCATCTGACATCAGCAACAATATCCCATGTTCCAAGTCCTGTTCTGAAATCTGGCTTGAATTTCTGGCAGTTCCCTGTCAATGTACTACTGCAACCATTTTTCAATTATCTTCAATATAATTTTACTTGTGTGTGATATTAATGACATTATTCAATAATTTTCACATTCCATTAGATCCCCTTTCTTTGGAATGGGCACGAATATGGATCTCTTCCAGTCAGTTGGCCGGGTAGCTGTCTTCCAAATTTCTTGGCACAGATGAGTGAGGGCTTCCAGCATTGCATCCATTTGTTCATGAGCAAGTTTCAGAGTCTCTTCTGACATCTATTTTGGCTTTTTTTTTCCTTTTCTGTCTTTTCAATGACCTTTTGCTTTCTTCATGTATGATGTCCTGGATGTCATCCCACAACTTGTCTGGTCTTCAGTTATTAGTGTTCAATGTGTCAAATCTATTCTTGAGATGGTCTCTAAATTCAGGTGGGACATATTCAAGGTCATACTTTGGCTCTCGTGGTCTTATTTTAATTTTCTTCAGCTTCAACTTGAACTTGGATCTGTTACCTGGCCAGCCCCTGGCCTTGTTCTGACTTACATTATTGAGCTTCTCCATCGTCTCTTTCCACAGACGTAGTCAATTTGATTCCTGTGTGTTCCATTCAGTGAGGTCCACATGTATAGTCACTGCTTACGTTGTTTAAAAAGGTATTTGCAGTGAATAAATTGTTGGTCTTGCAAAATCGTATCATGCAATTACTGCATCATTTCTATCATCAAGGCCATATTTTCCTACTGATAGCCTTCTTTGTTTCCAACTGCCGCATTCCAATCACCAGTAATTATCAATGCAACCTGACTGCACGTCTGATCAACTTCAGACTGTAGAAGTTGGTAAAAATCTTAAATTTCTTCATCTTTGGCATTAGTGGTTAGTACATAAATTTAAATAGTCATATCAATTGGTCTTCCTATCACTTACAGCACTGTATTTCAAGATAGATCTTGAAATGTTATTTTTGAGGATGAATGCAACGTCCTTCCTCTTCAATTTGTCATTCCTGGCTTAGCAGACCATATGATTGTCTGATTCAAAATGGCCAATACCAGTCCATTTCAGCTCACTAATTCCTAGGATATTGATCTTCAAGCATTCCATTTCATTTTTGACAACTTCCAATTTTCCTTGATCCATACTTTTGTACATTCCACATTCCAATTGTTAATGGATGTTTGTGGCTCTTTCTTCTCATTTTGAGTTGTGCCACATCAGCAAATGAAGGCCCCATGTGCTTGACTCCATCCAGGTCATTAAGGTCGACTCTACTTTGAGGAGGCAGCTATTCCCCAGTCATATTTTGAGTGCCTTCCAACCTGAGGGGCTCATCTCCAGCACTATATCAGACAATATTCTGCTGCTATCCGTAAAGTTTTCACTGGTCAATTTTTTCAGAAGTAGATCACCAGGGTCTTCTTCCCGGTCTGTCTTAGACAGGGAAGCTCTTCTGAAACCTGTCCACCATGGGTGACCCTGCTGGTATTTGAAATACCAGTGGCATAGCTTCCGGCATCACAGCAACACGCATGCCACCACGGTATGACAAACTGACAGACGATGGCCAATAAGCACATGAAAAGATGCTCAACATCATTAGTCATCTGGGGAATGCAAATCAATAACGATGAGATACCACTTCACACTCACTAAGATGGCTATAATCAAAAAGTCACATAATTACAAGTGTTGGAGAAGATGTAGAGAAAGTGAAACCTTCATACACTGGTGGTAAGAACGTTAGATGGTGCAGCCACTTTGGAAGACAGTCTGGCAATTCCTCAAATGATCAGACATAGTTACCAGAAGACCAAGCAATTCTACTCCTAGATATACATCCAAGAGAAATGAAAATATATGTTCATACAAAAGCCTGTACATAAATGTTCCTAGCAGCATTATTCATAACAGCTAAAAAGTGGAAACAACTCGAATTCTGTCAATTGATGAATGGATAAATGAAATGTGGCATAAGCAACTGAGGATTATTTGGCAACAGAAAGGAATGAAATACTGATATATGGTTCAATATGGATGAACCTTAAAAACATTATCCTAAGTGAAAGAAGCCAGTCACGAAGGCCACATATTGTTTATGATTCCATTTATATGAAATGTCCAAAACTGGCAAATCCACAGATTCAGAAAATAGACGTGGTTGCCTAGGACTGAGCGGTTGGAGGGAAACAGGTATGACTACTAAAGGGTATGTATCAGTTTTATCTTTGGAATGATGGAAATGTTCTAAAATTGACTGTGGTGATGGCTGCACAATTCTATGAATATACTAAAATTCACTGAATTGTATGCTTTAAATAGCTGGATTGTACAGTATTTGAATTATATCTCAACCAGGAAAAAAAAAAAATCACATCGCCGACAAGTCCATTCCAATGCATAGTGACCCTACAAGACAGGGTAGAACTGCCCCCACAGGATTTCCAAGGCTGTAATCTTTATGGAAGCAGACTGCCATTATCTTTCTCCCGTGGAGCGGCTGGTGGATTCAAACTGCTGACCTTTTTTGGTTAGCAGCCAAGCACTTAACCACTGCATCACCAGGGCTCCTTCTATCTCAATAAATCTATTACCAAAAAAAGTACATTTGCGATAGTTCACAATATTAAAGAAAAAAAGTTTTCAAAAGTTCCTTGCAACCTTACCTTAGACACTTCCTCCTTCCCATTATTTTCTTTAATGAATACCTTTTCTAATTCAGGACTTATTCCTTCTACATTGCAGGGCACACGTGAAGCAGATGATTTTGGCACTGATATATTTGACAGTGGCATAGCGACTGATCTTGATCCAGTAGCCTAGAAGACAGAAGATAAGATGGTGTCAAATTATTTATGGTCAAAGAAATCAAGAACTAAAGAGTAGGGTAAATCTTCAAATCTAAACTTAATAAACAGTTTTTTGATATTTCAAATACAATATAAATTCAGATGCACATATATAAAGTTAGGTTTTAAAGTAAAGACGTAAGGTAAAAATTCCAAACCAATAAAGCCCAAATCTGCTGCCGTCGAGTCGATTTCGACAATGTATGATTGTATCTTATACTGAATGACTGAAGTTGCCTTGATTCATAATGAGATGGACTGCTAATCACTGGTTAACACATTAATAATATTTCCCATACCAAGTGCTATGCTTCTGTTATATGTGAATTACAGCGTGTTCCTGTCCTTTGTCTCTTACTGATGCTTAAGAGTTTTCATATTATAGCTTTAACTCTGTCATACATTTACTGTTTCTTTTAGTATAAAGTATTTTTCTTTTAGTACTTTTATGGTTTTATGTTTCATATTTAAATACTTATAATGATATTTTCTGTGTATTATATGATGAAGAAAACTTACTATACTCTCCCATATAGCAATCCAACTACCCTACTTCTTTATTATGAATTCTATCACTGATTTCCTTGAGCTGTTATCTGATAATGTCTATAACAAGAGCTATACTTTAACTGCCCCTAATTTTACAGTACATCTTAGTATCCTGTCCTGTAGGGGAAGTTTTTCAAATTTTCTTTTCTATCAGTTGACATTACTTTTTCCATGTGCTCTTTGGAAACAACTGTTCAAATAATAAAAACAATTGCTTGTGAATTTCCACTGGAACTCATTTTGTACATTAATTTGGGATAAAGTGGTATTTCAAAAATATTGTCTTCCCATTGATGAATGTGTTAAGGCTTTATATTTATGTCTCTACTTTCTATTTCATATCCTCAATAAAGTCTTAAAGTTTGCATATTTCTTTTAAGTTTAAATCCAGGCATTTTTTTAAAATTATATTTTCTAACTTGTTATTGTTAGTGTAAAACTACTGATTTTTGTATGTTTATATTTTACTGAATCATCTCATTAACTTATCAGTCTGCCCCTCCCCCTTTTTATTATGGAAAACGCAAACATAAATATAATTAGAATAGCATAATGAACCCTAATGGGCACATCATCCAGCTTCAACAATGATCAACATTTGCCAATCTTGTTTCATCTTTTTTTTGTTGATGTTGCTGGAGTATTCTAGACTTCACATTTTATCTACAAATATTTCAGTATGCACAGACAGACTGCTGCCATTGAGTTGACTCTGACTTATGGTGACCTCATGTATAACAGAAGGAAATGCTGCCTGGTTCTGCATCATCCTCATGATTGCCAGCATGTTCAAGTCCATCGTCCATTGTTGTGGCTACTGTGCCAATCCATCTCACTCAGGGTCTTGCTCTCATTGGACTTCTACTTCTCTGAAAAGATGATGTCCTCCAGCCATTGATCTCTCCTAATGGTGTGTCCAAAGTCAAGTGAGTCAAACAATGTTCACTGTGATCTATAAGGTTTCCACTGTTTAATTTTCATAAGCAGATCACCAGACCTTCCTTTCTAGTCTGTTAGTCTGGAAGCTCCACCGAAACCTGGCCATGATGTGTGACCCTGCTGGTATTTAAATACCGGCGGCATAGCTTCCAGAATCACAGCATTGTGCAAGCCACTACAGTATGACAAACTGACAGACGGGTGGTATTAAGTATATACAGCTAACACAAAATTATTTTTAAGCATAATCACAATACCAGAAAATTTAATCTAAATTGAGAACAAGTGCATGTCTTTTTTTTTTATGTCGAGTCAATGGAGCTAGTATAAGTACACTGAACTCCTAGAGGAAAAGTGCTTGCAATAGATAATATGCTAATTCAACAAGATTAAGATGAAAAAGAAAGGCATATGTGAATTTTCACTTGAAATGTCTGAGGTTTGCCAGTTGTCTGTTTCTCTAACAGCTTTACTGAGGTATAATTTGCATACAATAAAATCCTCTCTTTTTAAGGGAGGAGCTCATTGAGCTTTGTTAAATATACAAAGTCATGTAATTATCAGTACAATCACATTTTAGAACGTTTTATTATCCAAAAAAATTTCCTAGGCCTCTTTCCAGTCAATCCCTTCCCCCAATACTTTGTCATTATAATTTTACCATTTTTAGAATATAATATAATGACTCATACAGTATGTTGTAGCCTTTTACTCCTTGGCTTCTTTCACTTAGTATGATGCTTTTGAGATTCAGCTATGTTGTATGTATCAGTAGTTTGTTCCCAATTAAGATTAAATTCTTGGGAATTGTGATAATGCTGAAAAATAATTATCTCTTAGTTATACATACATACCACTACCCATCTGTCAGTTTGTCATACTGTGGTGGTCTGCGTGATGCTGTGATTCTGGAAGCTATGCCATTGGTATTTAAATACCAGCAGGGTCATCCATGGTGAACAGGTAAATAGTATTCCATTGTATGGATATATCGTTATGGTTAGTCATTCACTAGTCGATGTATATTTAGTTGTTTCCATGAACATTCATGTACGAGTCTTTGTGTAGATATATGCTTTCATTTCTCTTGAAGAGATATCAAATGGTGGAATTTCTGGGTTGTATGGTAACTGCTAGAGACCCTAGATGGCACAAAGGGTTAAAACGCTTAGCTGCTAACTGAAAGGCGGGCGGTTTGAATCCATCCAGAGGTGCCTTGGAAGAAAGGCCTGCTGATCTACTTCTGAAAGATCACAGCCACTGAAAATCCTCCAGAGCACAGTTTGACACACATAGGATCGCCATGAGTCAGAATTGACTCCATGGCAACGGGTTTGGGTTTTTTAGTTTTATGGTAAGGGTAGGTTTAACTTTTTAAGAAAATGTCAAATTGTTTTCCAAAGTAGCTGTACCATTTTGTGTTCCCACCAGCAACATCTGACTCTTCTAGTTGTTCTACATCCTCATCAACATTTGGTGGTATCGTCAGTATTTTTAATAGTTTAGTTCATTGATTCTGATTTTCTAAATATACAACATCACATACAAACAGTGATACCAATTGTTTCTTTTTCTTACTGCCTCGTCTAGAACTTTTAAATTAGTAGCAAATATTAGCAGCAATTACAGTCATCTGTGACTTATTCTTTATTTTAACAGTAACGCTTGCAATACATATTGCTAGGGTCTCACTACATGTGCTCTTAGTGACAATAGAAAATGTCCTATTTTTAGTTTAATAATAGTTTTTTTTTTTTTTTTTAAACCACAAAGGGATATTAAGTTTTATCAAGTGTTGGTCAGCATTTAGAAAATCAAATGATTTTCTATTTTGACTTTCAGATGCAGCAAACTACATTAATACACTTCCTAACTAGATAATGAAAAAGGAAGACAGAAGAAGAATTGATACATGCCAACTGTGGTGTTGGAGAAGAATACCAAATATACTGCGGACTGCCGAAAGAACCAACAAATCAGTCTTAGAAGAAATACAACCAGAATAGTCCTTAGAACTGAGGATGATGAAACTTTGACTTGCTTACTTTGAACATACCATCAGGAAAGATCAATTGCTAGAAAAGGACATCATGTTTGGAAGAGGACCAACAAAAAACAATGGAAACTCTCAGTAAGATGAACTGGCACAACAACCAAAACAATGGATTCAAACATACCAACAATAATGAAGATGGTGCAAGACTGAGTAATGTTTCATTTTGTTATACATAAAGTCATCATTAGTCAGAGCAGGCTCAATGGAAACCAACAAGGTTGAACCATGCTTACATTTGTTTTGATACATTACTTGGGCTTCTTTTGCTACACTACTATATTTGTTAAGATTTACATCAACATTCATGAGTGAACTTGGTCTAGAGCAGCATTTCCCAAATTTTGTTTCACAGGATATGTTAATACATGTTTCTGGGAAAAAAATCTCTTATCCTCACATTTCTTCATATGTAAAATACAAAGTGTTACAGAGACAAACTGATTAAGGAACTGTTAAAGAGTATTAAATGAGATAAGATCTATAGTTGCTCAGTAAATGAATGAGCTAGGATTTCAGCCCAGGTTAGTATCATCCTCGAGATCAACAGACTCTGTTATCTTTGTTATTAAATGAGAAGGTTAAGCATATGGTTTAAAACAAAACACAATACCTCTTACAACAATTTAAGAAACAGCAGCAGTTAGTAGAGCTAAGCATTTACATTATTAAATTATTTTTTAATCGTAAAATAATGTATTCGTTCTTCATGAGGAACAAAAAGCAACTATTCAAATCTGGACAAGAAGTTAGCCTACCTGAGTGTGACTGATTGCTACATGGTTGCCATGGAGAGGTGACTGACGATCTTTCTCCTTACTGTGACGGCTGCTCTGTTTACTGCGCTGTAGTTGTTGCCTCAGTTTGGCAATCTGCTTGGCGGGGAGAAGGGAAAGCAAGAAGACAACAAAAGTGAATACCAATTTTTAAGTATTTATTTCTTTAAGTTAATAAATGAATTATTTTTCTCAAAGGGTTCAAGAAAAGATATTTCACCACAATGATTTATTCTTCCAAGTTTTTATGATTAAGAGTACTGAAAATGAGAAATAAATATATTCTACAAATGCTTCACTTCTGTAATTTGAAAATGTTGTTGGTAAATATGTAGACTAATTTCTCCAAATTATTTCAGATTTTACCTCTGTAACATCAGAAATATCTTCCTTTTTAAAAACCTGTTTTAAGGTGAAAAACTAATATTTCACATGCCTACTGACTGAAGTCAAACATGATCTCTTAATACAGGGGCCAAATTAGTTTCTAAGTTCTGGTCTAACATAAACAAAATAGATCTGTTTTATCAATTACTAAACACTTTAAAATTCAAAATCCCACCATGGTGAAAATCAAAGCAATTTAGTACTAGCACCTTATTAGCATTTAATATCTTATCATATATTACTAATTAGTCACAAAACTTTTAAAAACAAATATAATTTAGAGTATAAACGTGTTGCCATTGAGTCGATTACAAGTATATTCTCTCCTAAATGGAAGGGTCACACTCCCAGGCTTAAGAGAAAAGTCATTACTACAATAAGCCTTGTAATTCATATTCACCTATATATTTTAGGTGATGTGTAATATGCTTAAAGTATACTAAATCAGGAGTAAAAAACTCCTGAGCATTTTAAACAGAACCACTAGCAATTTTGGGGAAGTCATTTAATATTGGTATTATTTTCAATTGTAGAAAAGATGACGTTAATCAATTAACAACTGTTCCCAGAACACTTACGGTGGACCTAGTTTTATGTTATCTAATAGGCAAAGTATAGATACAAAGTCAGTAAAAAATATACTGATTTCCTCAGAGAGACAGAAAAATACAATGTATTATGATATTATCTAAATACTTACCTTGAATAACCATGGTAATAACAATAAACAATTACTATTAAAGCCAATAAAAGCTTGAGGGAAAAAATATATAAGGCTGTTAGGAAAACTTTTGTTTTTACCTGTGGCAATAGCAAAAAAGAAACATCATGGAAGGATATAAAACACTCAGGCAAAGAAATAATATATACTCTTCCTACTATATTAAGACCTTTACATCCCTTTAGTCTTTTAAAGTTCTTTGTAGCTTATAGACCTCTCAACACAATGTCCTTGCAAAAGATGTACCAGTAAAATTACCTACATTATTATTTGAGTTCCCTGCTCTCTGTTGAAATAACATCGTTTTCTTCTAGAGAACATTAACTTACATGAGAAAAGGAATCAAAATTAGGTGATCATTACATTATTCCTATGATAAAAAACAAATAGGATTTCAAATTGAACAAGCCATTTAATTAGCATAGAGCTATAAAGTTAAGTGTTTTCTGAATATTATGATGTTTTAATGATGATTCAAAACCAAAAAGAACTTGCATAGAAGAGCCCACAATGCCTAGAGGTTAATCAAGCCAATTTGTATTCATTCATTTTTAAAATAATCTTTAAAAAACAAAATAAAAATAACCTTAAAATTGTTCACTCCTACTCACTCTATTTTAAAGGCCTCTGAGACATCAAAATAAGCCAGAAAACTTTTTGTTCCAAGCTGGTCTTACAAACCCCCAAAATAAAAACATACATTATGCTGCATACTTTACTTTGCTTAGGATACCAGCTTAAATAATGCAACCTTATAGTTTTCACAACACTGTTCACCTTTGGAATGTAACATGTAATGCTCTTATTTTACAATTCAGTAGGGATTAAAGTATAAGGGAAACACATCCTCCTAAATATACAAATACTTGGAACATTACAAATTTAAATCAAGAAGTATGGGAAACGGAAGCAAGATTATTACCCTATAAGTCCTCCTTTGCTTCAGAAAGAAGTGGTTCCTGTATTATTTACACCACATTAAGAAGAAAGGCATGCCTACAAAACAAAGTATCTGCAAGTACTCTCGCTTTCCACATCTTTTGCTTAGGCTTTCCCTTTGATGCCAAAGAGTCCACGGTTATCTGAAGTCATCTCTTCTCCCCAACCTCAGTTCAGGTGAGAGTAAACACAAAGTGTCTCTGGGAGGAAATGGCAAAAGGAAGTTGTAATCCTTCTCTGCACACATCCCTCTCACCTCATCTACAACTCTGAACCTCTGCCCAAAACAGCCTCTCTAAGCCCACATTCCATCACATCATGCAGAAGCTTTTGGTCCTCACTTCAGTGAGCCTACCCACTCTAATTATGATGATGCAATAGCCAACATAACCTTCCTTTAAAGAGTGATTCAATGCTTAGCGGACAGTAAGCTTCTGTTAAGGGTGATAGTATAAATTTGGAACAGATGAGGGTATTGGTTGAACAACACGAACATAAAAAAATTAATGCCAGTGAACTGTGCACTTGAAGACTGCTGAAATGTCAAGTGTTTTGTTACATATACATTTACTACAATTAAAAAAAAAAGGGGGGGAGGGAAGGATATTAAGTGATACTAAATGTAGATTTTTCAACTAAACTATAGATAAAGTTTACTTTGTATTTCTAAATATTTATCAGCTATTCTGTGGCATTAAGAAAAAATCAAGAGGGAAGAAGAAAGACTTCTTTAAATATGAAAAGAGTCCCAACCACATTAGCTCCAAGGTTTAACAAAAATAGGGAGTAAGTGACCCTGGGTCACAAAGGAGGAAAAATAATTGTAGAGGGAATAATTAGCATAAACACGAAGAAAAGACTAAAACAGTTGTGGAATCAGATTAAGAAAAACATGGACTGGCTCCACTTAAAATCTGAGAACTAGGAACACATTTTATTGTAATTCTTTGGAAACTTGGTAAAGCTGCCTTGTTTATTTGCTATTTTTGCACTGCTTGTTTCCCCTACTACTGACAGCATTTCAAAACAAAATAAAATTCTTAGCCTCAAAAGACTTACTGAGTTCTTGCCTCAGGGACTGAAGGGGAAATATTCAAGATCCTGGGGCTTCAGGAAGAAAAGGAAAAAGAGAGGAAGATGAAGAAGGAAAAGAAGAGGGAGAGAAGAGAGCCACCTAAAACCAGGAAAAATATTACAGGTTATTACTAGCAAGAGATCTGGTTTCCTTAGTTAATCCTTCTTACCTACAGACACCTTTGCACCAAGATGCAAGTACAAGCATCAGCTATAGCTGGAAATTCCAATAATTCTTTATTTCTGATATAAGAACAAGATGGGAGATATGCTGTTGTCCCAAGACAGAACCCTCAACAGTATTTCCTATAGAAAGACAGCTACACACAGTGCTTGGAGTCTATCTCACTGTTATAGGGAAACTAGATTCCACAAAATTAAGTTTCAGTGGAAAAATATATCCTGGCTTTCAGACACCTAACTTATAACCAAACTTTAGGACATAAACTAATTTTAAGGGCTTCTCCAATTTAACAGAAACATGTTTTTGAAAGGAAAGGGCACAATGTATAATTATAGATAATTTGTATTCAGTAGTTAGAAATGTTGAACATTTAAAGATAACCTGCCTTGTGCTGCCATTTTTGGTTGAACAGTTTGAATACTAAGCAAGTATTAAGACACTAGGGCTGAAGGGATAAATAAGGACTGAAATCCAGGCCAGACCAAGCTCCACCCAGCAAGCTGTAAGTCTTGGCACAACACCGAAGCTGCCTGAAAGCCGTTTTCTTCACTCAAAGGCACTATCCCTTTTTAAAAATCTCATGTTTGTAAGGCAGGATCCACTCAAAGATTCCCTATAGGCTAGTATCCATCCAGAACCTGGTAGACACAAGCTAGAATAAAAAATCACAGCTATGATTTTTTATCTTTTAAAAATAAAGCAATGAGAAACTATTCTGTAAACCATCACCTAAAGTACAATAAAATAAATAAATAAAGTAGATCCCCTTGAGAACAGGAACCAGACAAGGATGCCCTTTATCACCACTCTTATTCAACATTGTGCTGGAGGTCCTAGCCAGAGCAATTAGGGTAGAAAAAGA